CAAGGGTCACGGTGCTGAACGTGCATTCTGCCACGAAATCGACCAAGGCTTGGGCCTTAATCACCGTCTGAGGTTCGTACCGGATGTCGTACTCACTGAATTCGATGGCCCATTTCGTCAGTCTGCCAGACACCTCGGGCTTGAGTAGGATTTGCCTCAGAGGACGATGACGATGTGGGCTTGGAAGTATGGACGAAGCTTCCGAGCTGCTATAACCAACTCGTATGCCAGTTTCTCGATCTCTGGATACCTCGTTTCAGCATCCTGCAAAATTTTACTAACATAGTAGATGGGTCGTTAGACCCGATCTACTTTCTTTATCAGTACCAAGCTGACTACCTCATCACTCGCGGAGAGGTACAACTTTAAAATATTCCCTTCCTCGGGTTGGGTCAAAATCGGGATACTAACTAGATATTTTTTCAGCTCGTCAAAGGTGAGCTGTCACTCTGTGGTCCACTCGAAGTCTTTACTTTTCTTAATAGCCTTAAAGAAAGGCAGACAGCGATCTGCCAATTTAGACATGAAGCGGGTCAAAGCGGCTGTACGACCGTCCATCCTCTGAACCTCCTTCAATTTGCAAGGTGGCCTCATATCCAGGATGGCCTTTATTTTCTCGGGGTTAGCTTCGATGCCACGTCAGTTGACTATGTAGCCCAGGAATTTACCCGAGGTGACACTGAAGACACACTTGTTAGGATTTAGTTTTATGTTATACCTATGCAAAATTTCAAAGACACTTTGCAAATCATTCATTAAAAATTTTGAAAACTGGGTCTTAACGACCATATCATCTACATAGCATTCAACCTTGTTGCCAATCAACGGCTCAAAAATTCTATTTACAAGTCTTTGGAAGGTCGCCCAGGCATTTTTTAGTCTGAAGGGCATAACCTTGTAACAGTACAGTCCAAGCTCGGTTATAAAGGTTATTTTTTCCTCGTCGGCAGGGTCCATCCTGATTTGGTTGTATCCCGAGTACGCATCCAGAAAGTTTAGCAACTCATACCTTGAGGTTGCGTCCACTAGACGGTCGACCTTGGGCAGCGGGAAACAGTCATTTGGGCAAGCTCGATTCAAGTCGGTATAATCGACACACATGCGCCATTTACTGTTGGCATTTTTTACCAGGACTGGGTTAGCTACCCAACTCGGGTAATGGACCTCCCTAAAGAAATCGGCTGCAAGGAGCTTCCCGACCTCTTCGTCGACTATCCTCCAGCGCTCCGGGGTGAGGTTGCGTTTTTTCTGTCTAACAGGCCTGACTATGGGATCAGTGTTTAACTTGTTAGTTAAGATTCTGGAATCTATGCCGGGCACTTCTGTCGCGGACCAAGCAAATACACCTAAATTTTTAATTAAAAAACTTACCAGTTGAGACCGGAGCGGTTCCTCGATCGAAGCACCGATCTGGAGAGTCTTAGCTGGATCATCCATTGAGACCGGGATATGGATCGTCTCTTCCGTTGGTGTAGCTCACTCTTTGTTGTATTCCATAGGTCGCTCGAGTTTGATGTCAGCCACTAGCTTGGCTTTTCCCTTAAGGGTGGCAATGTAGCACTTGCAAGACTCGAGCTGGTCGCCTCACACAACCCCTACTCCATAGTCCGTCGGGAACTTCATGGCCAAGTAGTAGGTGGACACTACCGCGCGTAGTGTGTGGGTAATAGGCCGACCTACTATGGAGTTGTACGGGGAGGGAGTTGCGACCACTAGGAATGTGTGCTCGAACCTTGCAATGTTGGGCCATGTGCCGACTCTACAGGTACTGAGACTCGCCCTAGAGGTCTGGCCTCTTTGCCGCTGAAACCTAACAGGGGAGTATCTGTTGACTTGAGATCGCTTTCTTGGAGTTGGAGCTTGTTGTAGGCATCCTTGAACAGAATATCGGCCAAACTGCCCGAATCCACTAAGACGCGTTTGATTTCAATGTCATTTATCCTCAGCTTTATTACCAGTGCATTGTCGTGGGGGTATTGGATCCTGCGAGCATCATCTTCTGTGAAGTAAATGGGATCTTCGAGCCTGGGTCACTTCGGTGGATTCTGCTCTTCATTCTCTAGTTCACGGATTGAAACTTTACTCGCTGCTGAGGTGCAACCCACGATGATGGACCCACCAATAATCATGTTGATTACTCCGCGGATCAGCCTTTCTTCTGGTAACTGTCTCTGCAACTGCTCATTTTGCCTACTACTGGACTTGGGAGCATTTCTTCTTTGCTCCTCCTGCCGATCTGCTTTGTTCTTATTTTCTTTTTGTATGAATTTTTTTAGGTATCCCTGACGGATGAGCTCTTCGATCTCGTTGCGGAGGTTTCTACAATTTTCGATATATGACCGTAATCTTTGTAAAAGTGACAATACACGTTCCTGTTTCTGGTGGCGGGGTCCCCCCTCAACCAAGGTGGCTACTTGACGTAGGAGGAACCCCGAACTGATGCTCTTCAGTCCCGAACTGGAGTGAACCCTGAAGTGCCTTGGGACCGAGGTGGTCCTGATGCGACCTTGCACCATGGTGACCTCGTCCCGAGGTGACCCATGCCGAGGTGGTTTGATTATCCAAGTTCGATCTGTTGCGGTCTTGGTATGTCAGGCTGAGTTATCATCTATTAGTCAGGTCGTGTCCACGTGTCCCCCTATTACTAGGTCGGGCTAAATCACCCTTCATAAAAAATCATTTACTGATATTCTCATTTACATGGTTTTTGGCAATTATTAAATATTAAATTGAAAAATTATTGGGAAATTTTAACTATATTTATAATTTGCATAGTTATTTAGAAAATTTAATATTTTTTTGAGAATTATTAAATTGGAAACTTTTAATAAATTCCATAATTAATTATTAGTAATTTACAATGGTTTTTGGAAATTATTAAATAAAAAATTATAGGGGAATTTTAATATTGATAATTTATATTTGGGAAATATTAATAATTTCTATAATTATCATAATTTACATTGGTTTTTTGTATTTATTGGGAAATTTTAATTTATTGATTTCCATAAAGTAATTTTCATGTTTTTGATAATTTAAATTACTGAAAGTTAATTCAAAAAAATTAAATTACTGAAACGTTTATATTTTCATTAATTAGTTATTCATAAATTCATAATTTTCGAAAATTAAATTATTCATATCAATAAATTTTGAAAATATTTTCAAAATTCATATCAACTCAGAAAATTATTCATAAGTTTTTGAAAAGTAAATTATTTATATCAATATTTGTACTAAGGGTTTTTTAAATATTCAATTTTTTTCTTTTTAAGTTTTGTTTTCTATTGTACAAACAACAATAAATTATAATTAAATATTTTTATTAATTTAATTTTAACATCCTATGCCAAAATGTCAACGGGTTGGTTGGTAAGTAAAGACCTGGGGTCTAATCCAGCTTGTACTAGTTTGGGGAGGCTTTATGGGATTTAGGGTTAAAGAAAAATAATTGTTAAACCCTTTCTATATTTTAACCTCTGCCAAAAAACAAGAAAAATCTCCTACATTGAGGACGGCCTCGCTGTAGCGTGTCTCTTTTCGAAGCTCAAACAAGTATAATTCCGGGACGAAAGAATCATTCTTCCCGATTCTCGAGAGCGTAAACCCTAATCAGTAGCGCTACGGCTACCACTTCTAGTGGCAAAACCGTAAATAGCCAGCAACCCATTTGAGGTAAGCAAAAAGCAAAGGCTTAGCTGGCATCAGCATTCAGTAAAGTTTCGAGACGCAGCAACCGGTCTCACTTGGCCACGATGTCGGACCTCGTGTTCTGCCTTTCGGTCATCGACACCTCGGAAACGACACCTGTCAGTCAGCAATTCATTATAATAATGTTTTCTCCTCGGCTTCTGCCTGACACCTTAGTAGTCCCCATTCTTGTATTTCTCTATAGAAAAACCCCAATTATATTCTCCCGTCCCCACCATCCCTGGCACGGGACCCCGACACCCCACAATTGGACTGAGTAACTGAGAGGACTTCTTTGTCATTATCATAGAACTCAAGGACTTGTCTTTTCTATTCCTTTTTTTTAATTAATTTCTAATTTTGATCTCTCCCCCAAAACAAAAAATATTAAATTCGCAAGAACGCCCAAAATTCAGTGGGACCACCTGAAACAACATTGTCTGAGCCACATCCAACGGCACGAAGGGCGCCTCACGGATCAACTGATAGACGACAATGAAGGATCCCGTTGCCCAGTGAAAAGATATGAGCTGGGGTCCATGTTGGAAGCTAGATTCCAATCTGGCAACACAGTAAGATGACTCACATGTGTGGGACCTGCCATCGAATCAAAACCCAATTATGCTCCCCACGTATATCCTCGGGCCCACGCCTTGAATTCGGAGTTACTCCTCTCACAGAACCTAACACTTTGCATGTTGCAGCGGTGCATTGGGAATATCTCGAATAAATGACAATATGTAAATACGGGGGATATTCTCAAAGTGCGACTGGCATGTTATCCAACTCAGCCTAAAGGAGAATGAACACGTCAGCAACTTTTTACCTGGACCCTACGCGTTTGCTTTGCAAGATCTTGGTCCAATGAAGATTAGACACGTAGGGTGTACACGGTTGGCTCAGTGTGAACGTTCACGCATTATCATTGCTCTCGTTTCATTCTGTAGTGTTACCCACCTCTCATTCGCTGGCCATGTGCCTTAAAGCAACTGAATCTTCTTACGTCCATATGCACAACGCACACATTCAAAAACAAGTAATAACCCTAGGGAGAAGGGTAAAAATGGAAATTCATTATTATTCAAATAACAATAAATGAGATAATTAAGGAGAAAAATAAATAAAATATTCCAATTTTCTATTTTGTTTTTTAATTTTCCGACCCAAAAATCAGGACGACAAGGACGTTGCTCAATTTCCGGCTTTATCTGTGGAAAACGGAGACAATTTCAAAAAATAAAAAAAGAGAAAAAATTTGTGAAAAAAAGGGAGAGAGCCAGATAGGGACTGTTCATCGTCAGTTGGTGTTGCCGTTACCTTTTTGGGTCATGATGATGAAGGCCGGTGACCGACCTTCCAGTCTTAGTCTCACGGAAAGCGAAAGCCACGCATAAAACCACAACCACAACGGCCCCCCAAAAGCATTTTTTTTTTCAACTTTGATCAATGAATTATAATTAAATAATCAGGCAGACAGACTTTTTGATTTTTTTCTCTGAGACACTGAGACGTATAAGTCGTATACCACTCTTTTCCCTGGATTTGTTTTGTTTAATTTTCACCTTTTGGTTTTTGTTTTACTTTTACCTAGGTGTTGAATGGTAGAGTAAAAGCTTCTGGGAATTTTACAGATTTTTTTTTTGGGTTTAATTAAGAAAGGGAGATTTATAATGAAATAATTTTAAAATTGAGAATTACAGTACATCACAGATCATCTTTCTTTGCTTTCCGTTAGTGATAAGCACGCCTGGCACTCATCATTCCCTTCGACCCCTTCTCTCACTGTCTGGAATGTTTTTGCTGTGCATCTTCGACTTTTACTTTCCCCAAATTTGATAACTTTTTTCTGAAACGTTTCGTTGCTTCTGCTGCTGCGGGATCGATTTGGTTTGGCCGTAGGGGTTTTGGTGATCAATCGGAGTGGATTCGGCGCTTTCTTGGGCAGAGTTTTAAGCCAGGTACGATTGAAAGATATGGACTTTTTCTTTTGTTTTGAAATTTATTGGGTTTCTGGTGAATCAATGTTGGCATTGGTTAATTTTGTTGGAAGAGAACTTCTTTTTGGATGTTTGATGGGAAGAGATGTTGATTTAGAGACGTTATAGTTTTATTATTTATATGGTTTTGCAGTCTGAATTGGGATGGTTTTAATTCGATTGGATCTTTTCTTTTGGAATTGAGATTTCGAGAGGAAATGAAGGTGGTATCTCTATATATACTTGAATTAACGGTCCGAGTTCAATCCAGTATCGTGGGTTGTCTCGGGCTTGCTTGGGTTTCATTGAATTTCCACCGGGCATCCTAATTTTGTTTGCAAGATGGGACTTTTCTTTGTTGGTTTTAGCATTAAATTACTATTGTTTTTGGTTGTTTGTGATGACTTGAAATTGGAATTGATGCCTGCACAAACCATTTTGTTGGATTCAGTTCAATGTCGTAGAGTTTTCGGAATTAGTTTGAATCAACCCTTYCATTTTCCTGTTTTAATTTCTCAGATTTTCATCCTTGTGCAGACATAGGTTAACTTCTCTAGATTTTGTTGGGTATTGATTTCTGCATATCTTTCCTTATTATTCTTATTTATTTATTTATGCAGTCAGATTTTGGATTTTCTTTTTCTTGTCTAGATATTCAGGTAAGTCAAGTCTAATCCCATGCAATTCACCTTACAATAGCAAATGCAACCCCATATTTTACATGCCATTGTCTCACAAACAAAATTTCTCTCTCTCTCTCTCTCTCTCTCTTTCTCTCTCTTAAGACCAATATTATCACCGGTGAAATACCTTCCTTATTTGTCAATGCTATTGTCTATTTTTTCCCTTTTTTATGTCTTGAAGTCTTGAGCTATCAACTTTATCATTCCAAAATACTGTAACTTCTCTGTACCTTTTAATGGTTGTGTTATTATTCTGTTCAATTTTAATTGCCTTCCTTGTAATGTGCCCAACTGCCTATCTATTCATCATATTTCCATAACTATTTCATTTCTCCTTTTCTTAAAAAATTTTGTATTTACTTTCAGGAATTTGTTCTAATCCTTCTAGTATTGATTATATGATTTAAAAGGCCTGGACCTATACTAGTATAGAAAAGAAAATACATGGAGTACACCTGAAAATGTTAATAATGAGTTAAAAAAGGGAAAAGAGTAATCATTCCTTAGGCTGCTTTTGGAAACAAGCAAATGGAGTGTAAATCCCAGTTCAGGGTGAATTTGCACTCTGGTTCACTTTTGCCTGTGTTTGGTAACATTACATTTATGCATTGACAAATGACAGACCAATGCATATTTACATTGATAATAAGATGTAAAAGTACATCAACAAAAAAGAAGTAAATTTGCATTCAAGTGGGCTTTTGGTAAAAAAAAAAGCATATGCTTTATTGGAATTCATGTTTGCATCCATTACAGCTAAAAGTCTGTTTGGTAAGAAGGTAAATATGTCAGTGCAAAACTAACCCAATTTTGCAATTTATATGAACCGTTTTACACTCTACATATTTTCATTCACACTTATTTGCATTGTTTCCAAACGCAGCTTTATGTTCCATTTGAGAAGAGTACAAATACAAATATGTACAGTGCAAAGCCTTGTATATTATATCTCTAAACCTTGTTTCGCATTGTACATATTTGTATTTGTACTCTTCCCAAACCGAGCCTTAGGTCAGATAATGATTCATTTTATATTTTCTAATCAATATGTAGGTCAGCATCAGTCTTCTGTTAAGGTTATTCTGTGAATGGAATAATTTACAAGACAATAATAGGTTCTTGCCTGAATGCAGTGCATGAAGGCTGGAAAAATAGTAGTGACAACTTCAGCTTGGCGTTTGGCAAAATGGTCCTCAGGTAATTAGTTTGTTGGGTCAGACCTGCTGTCTGTATATAGCTCCAATATCTGGGGAGCTAAAAACAATTAGAGTTAAGAATCAGAAGGTGTCTTTCTGAGCTCATTAATAAAAAGGTTGACATGGGATATTGACTATCCATTCTAGGCAACCTCCACAACAGGCATTGGAACTTGTCATGGGAGATTGTAAAACTGAATTTTGCTAAAATAAGCATGGTTCTATGTCATTTCCTAAGGGAAGAAAAACTTTTGGTGGCTAGGGAATAGCGCTCATTCAGGTGGTTCCAAGACTATCTATTCCCCTTTTTGATCGATAGGACTGCCAACTCTGTTGCAGACAACATAGCAAGAGAAACAGTGACTAGAGGTTCTTTGTATTGAGAATTTTGTACCCTGCATTTAATGTGATCTATATGCATTCTATTGTTGGTTTTACAACTGTGGTCTCCCAACTCTTTGATCTTTGAGGGGCTTGAGGTTATGTTTCACATCTTTTATGATATAAAATTCTTTTGATCCTGTAACTTGTTGATTAGAAATTGAACAAAAAAGTTCTGAAAAAAGGAAAGTTGCAAGTGGAAACAATTGTATGGACATGGGAAAATATATAGGCTTGTACTTGTTCTATGTTCATTCTAGTCATGATATTTGAGTACTTAATATTTGCCTATTCCTTAAAATGAGTATCTATCAAATGTTCTGTATCCTCATTTCTAGATGAATATCTGCTGATCTTTGCATGAGACTTATTATCCCCTATTTGTGAACCTTGATTAGAAATGTGTTAGAATTGCTGGTTAATCTAAAGGTTGAAAGAGAGTCCTCATTGTTTTGGCAACATTCTGCTTCTTCTTCTGATTCTTGATCCATTACCCCCATGAGCTAGACTCCCACTCCTTCACTGGTGATGAAGCTGAATTCAATAGCTGTAGCTTGGGCAACCTTGACAATTTAGGAATTGGTGAAGTACTCAGAAATAACGGAGGTGATGTTGTCATTGTGTTCTCAGGACCATTTTGGGCTTGGGGATTCCATTCAGGCTGAATTATTAGCTTTGTTGAAGGGCTGAGGGACTCTCGTTTGGCTCTAATAATCTTTAGGTCAAAGGGTGATACTAGGGTTGCAGAGAAGCAACAATGTAGGTCCTTTGCAGCATAATATACAATCAGGGAGGTGAAATCTTTGGCAGATTTCTCAATTCCACATCTTGATGGGTTCCAAGATCAGAAAATGGCATGGCTGACACCTTTGCTAGTTGCTAGGGTAGATTTAAACAGAAATTAATTGTATTTTGGAGGTTAAATCCCCTGAGGTAAGATCCTTCAAATTACTGGATAAGGGTTCTTTGATAGGGAAGGTAGCTGGGGATATTCTTCATTTTTCGTGGAGGTGACAGTGTACAAATTCTTCTCCCACACCTCATTATTAATTTTTATTTCCAATAAATAAAGTTGCCAGATAAATTAATTATAAAAGAAACCTCATAGTTTACCAGTCTGAATATTGCTTGTAAACAGGATTTGTTCTCTGTTTTAGCTTACATTTTTCAATAGCATTCGAAATTGGACCACTGGTGAACTGACTTACCCTGAATCCCCAGAAATGCTTACCTCATCACCAAGCAATTGCAAACTGTCAAGATTGGGTCATATTTTCTCTTGGATTGGTGTTGATACTTCATATATTTTTGATCAATAAGAGAAAATTTTATTAAATTCAAGTTCAAGTATTACAATAAGGTGGGAGCTTTCTCCACCCCAAAGATAAATTTATAATTTATAATTTTTCCCTAAACATTTGGTGCCTAGCTGTTCCCTTGCTTAGCCAAAACATCCACCATCCAATTTGCTGTTCTTCTCATCCATTTAAGGACAACATTCAGCTCCCTTGTTATGCTTTCTATTTCCCGAAATGGTGTTGATACTTTGTTTTGCTTTGGGGTAATTACTCAATGTGGGCTGATGGGGTTATTTTTGTAGTTTGTTTTTCCTCTGTACTTTCTCTTCCTCTTGATGGTGTATATATTAATAAATTTGATTTACTGAAAAAAAGTGTCTGGACAGTATAGTTTATTTTACAAGTTTAGGTACTTGAAACTTTCCAATGCTTTTCCTTCTTTTCATCTTTTATCCTGTCTTGTTTCCACCCTCTGCTCATTTTGCAAATAGTGTTTGTTTTACAGGATATCTTTGATCGGAAGTTGCAGTCCAAAGTAGTGTGAAGCAATTTTATAAACCCATAGAACGGTATGGCTGTTTCCATGAGGGACTTGGATCCTGCTTTTCAGGGAGCTGGACAAAAGGCGTATCCTTTTGCTTGTGGAATATTTCAATATAAAGATTTCTTATCCAATTTAATAGACTTCATTAGTGTGATCATATTTCCATTTTGATATTCTAGTTAGTGATGTGAATTGACAAAAGGGCAGCCTAGTGCACGATGACAGATGTGCGCAGCCTTACCCCTGAACATACAGAGTCCCAAATGTGAATTGGCAAAAAAAAAAAATAATAATAAAAACAGAAACAAGTTCTGTGAATATCACAGCACACACTTCATACATGCATACACAGGTGATCATGTGGAAAGATGTTGATGTTGATACTGAAACTATTACATCTTCCCAGCAGTTATGGTCAGTGAAAATAAAGTGAGTCAAGCTGAACTTAGGATTTAGTTTTAAATTGTATTAAGCTCAAAAGAATCTATTTGCATGGCTATGTCTTTCTTTTTATCTTATCACTGGCAACCAATTTATCAAATGACTTGCCTCTGTTAGTGGAAAAAAGTGAAAATTGGTGATGCTTTTGATGATTTTACACAGGGGATTGTTCAAGTTAGAAGTTAGGTCTTTTCTGGGAATAATTGCAAATTTGCAACTCAATACTGGCATTAACCTTTCAGAGAAGAATTTGATGGCAATAAGGACATGAATTTGGAGAATCATCTTAAGATTTTTGCTGCCTGTTATGTAGGTTACTAAAGAATGCTTGTAGACTAAAGTTTTCTGGTTGAATGGTTAGGGTGTTTTTGGATTATTTGTTCTTGATTAAGGATTTGGTATGGTTGAGTGCTGATTTTTCTAACATGTGCAGCATATAAATCAGATAATCTTGGACAAATTGGTTAGTATTAGTGGACTGTTATAAAGATGAAAAAACCTGAAGAAATGTTGAAGAAAGGTGGGATATTAAGCTAGGGTTTTATGTTGGGAAGATTTAGGACGGTTTAAAGAAGGGTTATAGATATGAAGGTAGCACAAGAAAAAAGTTTAGTCCACACTTGTTTCTACATAAAATGAGTGCAAAATTTTATCCATCTGAAATATTTGAACTTTGTTTACCAATCAAAAATATATCTGATCCATGTTTTTAATGATGGAAATGTTGTTTTCTTTCCATTTACATAAAAATATATAGTGTGAAAAACAAGGTATTTTTACTATAGAAGGGGTGGAAATAAAATATTTCAGCTTCAAAAATTTTACTTCCAAACTATGGAATAATAACTGTACTATATTATTTATTTTGGTATGTTAGGGGGGCTTGGTTCAGGGAGACATAGGGTCTTGGTTAGTTTGGTGATAAAGGGAAGCTGCCCAGATGTGGTTATTCTCCTATTATATAGTATATATCATTATACTTTTGTTTTAATGTTTTACTATTGAAACTTAAGAGATGAAAAAAGGTTTTGTGGAGAGAAAAAAAGAATAGAAGTATAGAGAGGTTCTTTTCTTTTTTTTCCTACTCTCTTTAATTAAATAAAACAACAACTGCATCCATTTTTTTTTTCTATTTTATTTTCCATCTTGAATTTTTATCATATAAAGTTAATAACCTTCTTTAGTTGCTAATTGATATCAAATTGCTCTACTAAATACTTATTATTAGTAGTATTAGTTTTTAAAATAGTGAATTTAATGTATTTAAAAGTTTTTTGTCTTTCAGATATGATGATTTGCCACATTTTTAAAGGAAATTTAATGTTTTTAATAAGGAGAATTGGTATTTTTTTCAATTAAAATTAATATGCATGTTGAATGGTATATAAAACAAGGGAACTAGCCAAAAAGTTAGCTCTTTATATTATAAAATTCTTATAGCCTAGGCAAATAGTTGATTAGACACCTCATTGCTGTCTAGAATTGCTGAGACACCTTGAAAACTATAGACAAAGCTTCATATGATTAGCTCTTCACTAGCCAGAACTATGGGGGTGAGGGGATTAACATATTTGATTGGTCTTATAAAGGGGTTACAAGAATGGTTTCTGGGATTCTCATGATGTAGGGCAAACTTAAGTTGACCAACTTGGATGAAGAGATAGGGCTGTTTACCACCTTGGCTCTGTTGGAACTAGCAGATAGGTTCAAATGTCTAATTACAAATGTTTATGGCCTGAATGAAGGGGAAGACACACACAAATCGAGAAATGGTCCAAATTTTTATTCATAAAAAAGGGAAGACTAGAGGGTAGAGAGGTTTTGAGAAGAATTGGATGGGATCTGGTGAAAATGGATTTATAATGGCCTTTTATCAGGATTGTAGGGACATAATTAGGGTGGACTTCATCAAAATGTTTAGAGAATTTCATAGAAGGGGAATTATCAGTCTGGGTTGAACTTGACATTTATTGCTTGGGTGCCAAGGAAAAGTGATGCTTTCCACCCAAAAGATTTCAGGCCAATCAGTTTAGTGATTAGCATTTACAAGATAATTGTTAAAGTTCTGCCTCTAAGGATCAAAAAAGGTGCTCCCCTCATTAATCTCCTAGTTTCAAGGGGCCTTTATTTAGGATAAGCTGATTGTTTAACAAATTTTAATTGCGAATGAATGTGTAGAGGCCCAAAAAAGATTAAGGAAAAAGGGAGTAACAATCAAATTGGACTTGGAGAAAGCCTATGATCTAGTGGACTGGGAGTTCCTAATTAACATCATGAGAAGCTATGGTTTTGGAGAGTTGTGGTGCAAGTGGATCAAAGGATGTTACAAACAAGTCATTTCTTAGTCATTGTTAATGGGTCAGTGGTAGATTTCTTTGAGGGGATTCGAGGCATTTGACAAGGTGATGCACTCTCACCTTTTCTGTTTACTTTGGTGGCTAAGGTTCTTAGTAGGTTGATATCAAGAGCCAAATCTTTGTAACTTTTGAGGGGTTGGACAGTAAGGAGAGATAGTTTTGGTGACTCACTTACAATTTGTAGACGATATTTTGATCTTTTATGATGGGGTGAATAGTGAAGGGGTTATACACCTAAAGTTGGTAGCTAGCCTTTTTTGAGAGAATGTCCAACCTAAGTGTAAATTGGGATAAAACTGTGGTGGCAGGTATCGATTTAGAAGAAGGGGTGTTGAGGACTACGGTGGAGACTCTAGGGTGTGAGAGTGGGGAGTGGCCTTTAAAATACTTAAGGTTACCCCTTGTTGACAACCCTAGATTGGTTAGTTTTCGGAACCCAGTGGTTTAGAGGTTTTAGAAGAGGTAGGTTGGGTGGAAAAGGATCTATATCTCTTTGGGGGGGGGGATTACTTTGTTTAAATCCACTTGAGCTAACTTTCTAGTCTATTTCTTGTCAGTCTTCAGAATTCCCCAGACAGTTGTGAAAAGGATTGAGAAGTTAATGAGGGACTTTTTATGGGATCCAGGGGAAGGGAAAAAAAACCATTTAGTTAGATGGGAAAAGGTGATCAAAAGGAAGGAAGAAAGGGGATTAGGAATTGGCAATGTGAGTATATAATACTTTGCTCTCTTGAGCAAGTGGTTGTGGTGGTTTCTTGTGGACAATGATAGGTTGTGGCTAGTATTCACGGGCTATCAAGCAATGGATGGGATGCTGGTTGGCTGCATAGAGCTACTCTTGCTATACACCCTGGAAAGCTATACACGGTATCCTTATTCTCTTAATCATGTGAGGTATGACTTGGCTTCAGGTTTGAAAATAAGGTCCTGGGAACGTGTTTGGGGTAGGGGAATCTCCCTTGAAAGATGCTTTTCCCTCTCTGTTTGTTCTTTCCAACCTCAAAGAAATGCCTATGTCTGATTTTCTTATTTCTCATCTCTCACCTTCTGGGTTGAATTGGAATTTGGGTTTCACTCGAAATTCCAGGGAGTTGGAAATCTCCTCTATGTCTAGTTTGATGCATCTTTTGGATTCTCTAGTCCTAGATGATGAGGGTTTGGATAATTGAGTCTGGGCCCTTAATACTGTTGGGGTGTTTACTTGTAAATCTTCAAGGCCCTTATTGCCATTACTCCTCCCTCCTTCCTTCCCTATAAAGAATTTTGGTGTTCCCTATTCCTCCAAGGTCAGTGCTTTTTGTTAGGAAATCTTCATGGAAAGCATTAATACTTATGAGCTGCTGTAGAAGAAAAGACCAAACTGGTCTTTTCCCCCTAACTGGTGTTTCTTATGTAAGTTGCATGGTGAGACTACTTTTTTTCTCTTAATCTTCTGTTCCTTTGTTCACTGTATTTGAGAAGGGTGCTTTTCCCTTTTTGGTTTTAGGAGAAACCGTCCTGCCAACTTGGAAAGGTTGTTTAGCCCTTCTGTGTTGAGATGTACAAATAGGACTATAGGAGAAGCAGGATTCTATAGAGGGGCGCACAGGCATCAGTGATTTGGACAGCATGAGAAGAAAGAAACTCAAGAAGTTTTGAGGGGAGTAGCAAGGAGGCATTGGTAGAAATCATAACGAGAGTAGAATTTTAGGTGAAGGCTTTGAATCTGTTCTCAAACTTTAAGGTGGAAAATTTCTTCAGGAATTGGGGGCCAATAGGTAGGTCTTCCTCTAGGAAACAAAATCTCCACTAGAGGTGTGGTCTCCCCGAATGGGAAGGTGGTTGAAATTGAACGTTGGTGGTAGTAGTGTGGGCAATCCAGGTCTTTTAGGAATTGGAGGGGTGATAAGAGATGAGGGTGGTATTATACATGCCTTGTACTCAGGCCCAATTGAGCAAGGTGATTCTGTAAGAGCATAATTCTAAGCTGCAGTTTTTGGGGGTAAAAATGGCTAAAGAATTGGGAGGTTGGTTCTTGAAGGTGATTTGAAGCTGGTAATGGGGTAGTTAAGTAAAGGTGAGGGGGTGATTTGGCAGCATAGAAATGAATTCAGGCGCTTCAAATGGGCTATTAAAAGATACGACTATTCAAATAAAGTGGGTTAGGAGATCTGATAATACTCTGATGGATGGCTTAGCTAAACAAGGGATTCAAAGACAACATATGTACTGGGATCATTTGTAATACAGTTGGGTGGGTCTGTCCTGTAATGGGTTTGACAGCAGCTTTTCACAGCTTCTTGTTGTAATATTTTCTTCTTAAAGTTAATGAATGAATGGACTAATGGACTTCTGTGTTGCTTATAAAAAAAAAAAAAAAAAGAAAATAAAAACGGAGGAGGTCCCTCCTAGAGTTGGCTTGGTACCATGTAATTCTGGTGAGGCATACTAGAAAACCACAACTCTATGTGGTTCAAAAATGATGACCTCTATCCCTAAATGGTCCACTATATATGTTAGTCAAAATTTATGTACTATTAAAGAATGAATAAAAAATACAAAGAAAAAAGAAATAAATACATGACTCCATATTATTGTGTATCCTAATCTGCATCATGATGTTTTGGGTGTAGAGGGTGGTATACTGTGAAGATCTGGATTGGGCCTTTTTAGTATGTCTAAATATATAACCTTATAAAATATTTTTTGATTACTCAAAAAAATCTTGTTCTTATAATTCTTTTCTTTGTGTTGTTGTTAATATTAGTAATTAAAGTAGCAGCATTAGTTCTATTTATCTTCTTATTTGTTTTTTGATATTTTGTTTCGGGCTCATATGCATTTGTAATCCTTGACAAAATATAGTGGCATGGAAATATGGCGTATTGAAAACTTTCATCCTGTGCCTGTTCCAAAGTCCTCGTATGGAAAGTTTTTCACAGGTGACTCGTATATAATTTTAAAGGTTAGTAATTATATCTTAATCCAATTGTATGAAGTTAACAAGTTGCATATTCACAAGTCCATGGAGGCTTGGATTAGAAAGAATGGCTCTAGGCAATGTTGCATGTATTAAGTTATGCTAGTAGTTTCTGGTTATGAGGAATGTTGTGATTGAATATATGCATCATGTTTTAAGAAAAAAAATGAAACCATAAAGCCTCATTTTAAGCATTTAAATTACTTGATATTCTTGTGAGCCTTTATATATTCATTTGGTTTTGGTGTTGAAGAAAACAATTATAAATACCCCAAGATGCAAATCCTATCTAAAGGAGATTTAACTTTTAAGGGAGACAATACAGAATCTTTTGGATCCAGTTTTTAGGCTAACTTATATAGAAAATGGATGGTCAGGTTGATAAGTTGGTTATATTTTATTTTTGTATGTATTGTTGTAGTGGGCGATGCCTCATCACATTGATCTTTTCTACAACCTTTTTATTTTAATGAAGATTTCCTTTTCATTTACTATAAAAAAATGTAACTTTTTTTGCTTCTATACTGATCAGAAGTCCTATTTATACGATATAATCCTTTATGTTTCTGGTTCTCTAGTGACGATAATATCTATGTAATCTACCTCATATTCCTTTATTCTATTATATAACCTTTACTCTTTGTTATGTTTTTTTTTTATCTATACTGTCATGTTAGAAATTTGGTTGAGAGTTGAAAATTAGGTTCTTTGTAGGGTATGCTGACCTAGCGATGGAGGATTAGTAGCTCTGTACCAATTTGATGCAAGATGGTATGACTGAATGGTGAGTCTAGGAAGGTATTAGTTAACTAGAAAAAAGTTTAATGACGATTTTATGATTGAAGGTAGAGATTGGTTAGGTTTGGAAGGATATCATGGGTTAATTGTATCAAGTATGGATTTGTCCCAATATTGTGAGAAGTTTCAAATTGGGGGTTGAAAATTTTCAATAGAATTTTGTAGGAGGTTTTCTCTCTATGGAATATGGATACAAGGGGCAACCAAGTTTGATGGGGTTTGGAGTTTGCCCTGCACAGAAGGATGGAAAATGAAATTTGTCAAGAAAACCTAAAACAAATAAGTAAATAAATATAATGATCAATTCTCTGTTTGTTCCTTCTTTAAATCCTTGTGTCTTCAAACTCCCATTAAGCCCTTCCCTTTTATAGCTGTTTGGAAATGTGCAGTCCAACAAAAGTGAAGCTTTTCTGTTGGGAAGCAGTAATCAAATCAAGAATACTTATGAGAGGCTTTAAAGAAAAAGGAACACCTGGTGCCTTTCCCCTTATGTGTGTGCTCTTTGCTTGAGTAGTGGAGAAAGTGCTAACCATTTTCTGTTAAATTGTCATTATGCTGCTCAGGAGTGGAGTTATTTTGCCTCAAGCCTTAGAGGCATGTGGTTAGCTCCAGGTGATGTCATGGTGTGTTTCACAATACGTTTGCAGTCTTGTCATACAAAAAAGGAGCAGATCCTCTGGCAGTCTACAAAAGCTGCAATGTTATGGAGCTCATGGATGGGGGGGGGAATGCAAGAATATTTGAGGATAAATCTATGTAGGTGGGAAGATTTATTGAACTCACAATTGTGAGGATTGCACATTGGGTAATGGTTTGTGATGAATTTAATCATTGAGTGACGTTTTAAGGGAGTGGGGAACGTTTGCTGCATATTAAAGGGATAAAATGCAATAAAATGCAAAGAAGGGAGCAAGGGAAGTACTGGCTAGGGCAAGGTTGAAGCTCAATTTGATGGATGCAGTTTAGGAAGTTGGGGACTTTCAGGAATTGGAGGCGTAATAAGGGACAACGTAGCATTCTAGTGAGATTTTCAAGGCCAACAGGAGCAACCAGCTCTCTAGAATCTGAGTTCAAGGGACGAAATTTGCTGACACGAAGGGGTGGATTGAGATTAACATAAAAGGGACTGCCAGGCAATCATATCCTGGTTGAAAGATAGAGAGGATATTACCATGACAACTTAGATCTTTAGTAAGACAGGGTCTTCTGCTAGGTTGAAATTTGAATACCTCATGAGTGGATCCCTAGAAGTGTAAACAGCCTGGCCAATGACTGAAGGAGGACATGTAATTGCTTTGTTTTGGGTCTATTTGGAGTAGAGGGATCTCTTAGGGCTGACTTACTTGCTGCAATACAAGGAATATAGATTGGAAATGAGTTGAAACTGGAAAACTTGATGATTGAAGGTTATTCATAGCTGGTGGTGGGTTGGCTGAGGAGCCAGATACTGAAATTTGGTGTTACAAGGATGATATTAAGAAATTCAAATGGTTAACAAGAAATATGACTTTTGAGGAAAAAATTAAAGCATTGACATGATATGCCTGGTTTCAAAGGCCACTGAAATGTAAAATACTAAGAGTTTGGGGATATTAACAGTTTGACCTGTTAATAACTTAGGCCCCATTTGGTTCACTGCAAACCAAACAGATCCTTAATATCCATCCTAACAAACATATTTCCAGAGTGTTCTTATTACTTATGCCTTGGATGTCACCTCTATGTGAGGCTCAAGGAAAATTCGTTGAGGCAAAGTCTCGTGGCTCAGCCTGAAAGTATAAGGTATGTTCCTCACGGCTCGTGTTGAAATGATATGTAAAAGTGTATGTATATGTGATTGTATCTATGCTTCAACATATTTAAAATGATATTATTTTCCACTTAACACTTTTGAGTTGTAATTAAATGATTTGTGAGCTCCTAACATTCTTATAGTTGTTCTTTAAGTGATCAACTATTCATGTACTTCCCAATAGAAATTATGCTCATTTTTTGCATGTTTCAACACTTTTCTCACTTTAATTTCATATTATTTTTCAAGAAATGGTAAGTCATGCAGCTAAAGGTCCTGGTACCTTGCTTTATGCCTCCACATTTTAAACACTGTTCTGTTTTCTTGTTGATGTCACCTCCCTATAGCGAGTAACAAACATAATTGGCTCTTATCAAACAAGGAAGGTTTAGATTAGGTGGTAGTGTGAACAGCTTTTAGCTTATTTATATAATAACCATTCCTTCAAGTTCCCTTTTGTTTTCAAAAATGTATTTCTTCATTATAATTGCAATTATATGTTAAAAACTGTTGCAATACGCTTAAAGCTTATATACTTTGTGCAGACTACAGCCTTAAAAAGTGGTGCATTCCGTCATGATATCCATTATTGGCTTGGTACAGATACCACCCAGGTGTGGTGCTGCTTCTATATAATTTTTTTTACTCACTATTCATTTGTTATGGAAAATAGGATCCAATATCTGCAGAGATATTTATAGTTTGACATCCTTCTGTCTGTGAAAATAAATAGGATGAAGCTGGTACTGCAGCAATCAAGACAGTTGAACTGGATGCAGCTCTTGGTGGACGTGCTGTTCAATACAGGGAGGTACAGGGTCATGAAACTGAGAAGTTTCTATCTTATTTTAAACCATGTATAATACCTCAAAAAGGTGGAGTTTCATCGGGCTTCAAGCATGCTGAGGCTGAACAGCACCAAACACGCTTATATGTATGCAAAGGGAAACATGTTGTCCATGTAAAAGAGGCAAGTATTTGCACTTGATATTCTCCAATTTGAATATTTTTGCATTTTTTTTTTCATTTGTAGTTTTCATTAATTTTCTTTTCCTTTGGACAGGTCCCATTTGCTCGATCCTCACTCAATCATGATGACATTTTCATTTTGGATACTGAATCTAAAATTTTTCAATTTAATGGTTCAAATTCATCTATTCAAGAGAGGGCCAAAGCTCTAGAAGTTGTCCAGTATGTCAAAGACACATATCATAATGGGAAATGTGAGGTAGCTACCATTGGTAAGTTGAAATATTAATTGGGAGGTCAAATGATGATATATTAAGTATTAAACAAGTAACAGCATTCTGAGTTGAGTTATTACAGAGGATGGGAAGCTAATGGCTGATGCTGAAACTGGAGAGTTCTGGAGTTTCTTTGGTGGCTTTGCTCCACTCCCAAGAAAGGCTGCATCTGAAGAAGATAAAACCATTGAAGCTTTCCCCCCGAAGTTACTCCAGTATGTTCTTTCATGAGTTCAATCTCCATTTTATCATTCTATAATGTAATGATTGACACTTTTTCTTTTTTTTTTGTATCAGAAAAGATGGGGACTATTTCTTTATCAAGAACTTGTTGCTTGTAGATTAACAATCCTAGGTTATTCTAAGTTGAGAAATTCTATGTACAAAAACATGTTTTGTGGTACCAGTATTGCAATAACAGTGTAGGGTTATAAATCTTGCACACTTGGGATGTTGGTGTTGTGACTGTAGGTCATACACGAGGTGCAACATTATAGCACTCTGTTGCAAACATTGGATCTAATATTTATTTGCAACTTTTGCAGCTTATGGTACTTTAACAGTACTGTAATTAACTTCTACACAGAGCATGTTTCCAAACCAAAGAATTTGCATATTTATGAGTTATGATAAATACTAGTCAACTCAACTAAGCCTTCCCAAATGTAATATTATAGGGATACTATATTTTTATTTTTCTATATTTTCAGCCTACTGTGCTTTAATAGTACTATTACAGAAACACATGTTTCAGAACCAAAGAAGTTGCATATTTATGATATAGATATTATATTATGTTTTTCCTTTCTGTTTTTCTTAAAGTTTCTGATGTCACAATGAAAAATTGAAAGAAACAAATAATTCATTACATAAATAGTTCCCAAGAACAAGATTTTTTATTACGACATAGGCATTTCTATTTGGATTTTATTTATTTTCATTTTCCATGTCATGGGGTGCAGTATCCATTGGGATGGCAGTACAATCTTTTTCACATTATATATTGGTTTTGACAAAATGTGTTTATCATTTTAGGATTGTCAAGGGGCAGTCAGAGCCTGTGCAGGCTGATTCGTTTACAAGGGATTTGCTAGATACAAACAAATGTTTCCTTCTGGATTGTGGGGTTGAAGTTTTTGTATGGATGGGGAGAAATACATCTCTTGATGAAAGAAAAACTGCTAGTGCAGCTGCAGAAGTAATACCTACTTAACATATCATACTTAACACTAGTTCTTTGTATGCAAACTTATATCCTCGATGCATTACACAATTTCAATACACAGGAGTTGACTCATAGCCCTGAGCGACCAAACTCTCACATAATTCGTGCTATTGAGGGGTTTGAAACAGTGGCATTCCGCTCAAAATTTGATTCATGGTCTCAGACGAGTGATGTGACTATATCAGAGGATGGTAGAGGCAAAGTTGCTGGTCAGTAACTAAATCTATGTATTACATAACTTGAAAACTGTGACTTGAATATATTGTCTACTTACTGGCTTTTACAATTCAAGTTGTTCTTTGTCTTCTAACTTTTAGAACTGTTATGTTTCCAATGATTTTGTAGCACTTCTAAGACGTCAAGGATTTAATGTCAAGGGTCTCCTGAAAGCTTCTCCTGTGAAAGAAGAACCTCAGCCATATATTGATTGCACAGGCAATCTGCAGGTGCTATTATGATATACATACATACATACATACATACAATACATTCCATACATACATAAATACATATGTATGTATATATGTATTTATGTATCTTTTACTCAATTTGCAGATTGAACTGGGGTATTTTGCTTGCTGTAAGACAAGCTTTCAAAATGCATTTTCAGGTCCAATTGCTAACTCTAGTTTCCAGCCTGGATAAACAGGTTTGGCGTGTAAATGAGCAGGAAAAAGTTATGCTTCAGTCTTCAGAGCTGTCAAAATTTTACAGTGGAGATTGCTATATTTTTCAGTATTCATACCCAGGAGAAGACAAAGAAGAACACCTTATTGGCACTTGGTTTGGAAAGCAGAGTATTGAGGTGAAGAATTTCTTGAGCCTATTGTATCCACCATCTTTTCTTCTTATGAATATATGTTTAGCAGATTTTCCATAATTCCTACATCTCATGGCTGCATGTTAGAAGGAAACAGCAAGGCACTCAAAGAGGAGAAATGTCATGCATGGGTCCCATCTATGCATGAAAACTTTTGTATTCACAGAGCTTTTCTTTGCATTTTGTTCAAAAACTTTTTGGGCCTTTTCTTTTGCAGTAGTTTCCCAGTTTCTTTTGCAGTAGTTTCCCAGTAAAGATAGGATAGATTTTTTAATATAGAAAAAAGAATTTATGTTGGTTTCTTTCTTTATTTCTTTCTTAAATAATAAATAATTAGAAGTTGTTATTAGATCTTCCTGAGGGAGACAAAGTATAAATGATATATATATAGTATATTATATAATGTGTTAACACACATATTAATAAGATGCAATAATATAAATGATGTTATAATGAGGCACCTGCCTTGTTATTACACACTTAATGCCACCTTTACTTGGATTAGAAGGACTGCAAATGGGATGGCTGACACTTTAGCCAAGCAGGGGGTCCATGGGTAGCAGATGTTTTGTAATCTTTTTGGGCTTGTTTCCAACTGTTTATTGTAATTTGTAACTTATGTAATGTGTTTTTCAGTTGGTTCCTTCTTGCTGATCCAAAAAAATTCTTTTTTTCGTTTTTGATAAGCAAATAAATATTTTATTAAAGAAAAAAGAGAGGGTGGCAAGTTATCACCCAAATACAAAGACCAACTTAAGACTAATGAGCAAACTCCACATTACATATATGAAAACCCAGGACCTCCCCTAACCTATTTCCCAAGTCGTCCTTTTCTGTCTGAAATCTGGGAGAATCAGCATCCAATTTGTCACTGATCTGCTAACAGCTGCAACCATCTTATCCATACTCTAGGCTTTGTCTTTGAAGATCTTCTCTTCCTCTCCTTCCATATGTTCCATGATACTGCAAATGGGATGCACTTTGGAGGGTACCGAGGGTCTAACTTACCTCGAGATGGAGACAAATCATGGACAAAGGCACGACAACCAAAGACTCGTGGGAATGGAAAATAAAGGGTACTGAGGGTACAATAACTGATGAGGGGCCATGTAGTTTAGCACTTTGGAGGGCATGTGATTGATGACATAAGTAGCTGCAAGTATAGTATCCACACAAAACCTTTTTGGAACATTGATGTGCAACATCATCCCGCGAGCTAYCTCAAGGAGGTGTCTGTTTTTTCTTTGTGCAACACCATTTTGTTGTGGTGTTCTGGCGCATGAGCTCCTATGAATAGATTCGTGGGAGACAAAGAACTCATTGAGCTCACCATGGAAGTATTCTTTTGCATTGTCAGATTGGAAGATCTGTATTTCAACATGAAACTGCGTAAATACCATCCTCTAGAAGTCTTTCACAATCTTTGGAACTTCGTCTCTACTACGCATAGGAAATACCCATGTATAGCGAGAGTAATCATCGATCAATGTGATTAAGTACTTATATCCGCCCTTAGAGATTACATTAGTAGGCCCCTATACATTAGAATACACAACATGAAAATGACCACTTGATCTTTTAATACTTGAGTGAAAAGTTGTTCTACATTGTTTGCTGAACTGACATGTTTGACACTGGAACTCTGACATTGAACATGACTTAAATAAAACCGGAAACAAAGACTTTACTATTTCAAAAGAAACATGACYTARMCRACTATGCCACAAAAAAAATTGACTCTTATTTGACTGACTATGTGACTCTGAGGATGACANACTGACTATGTGACTCTGAGGATGACACCGAGAGACCAGCTTTGTTGTCGAGAATGTAGAGACCATCCACTAGGCTCCCTCTACCAATCGTCCTCTCAGAATTTAGGTCTTGAAAAACACATGAGCCAGGAAAAAATGTTACACCACAGTTTAATGAGCTTGTGATACTACTAATTGAAAGCAAATTTATAGGAAGTTGAGGGACATGCAATACACAATTCAGGTTAAGGCCATGGGGAAGAGATTGATCCTTGGCCTACAATGGAGGAGAATGAGCCATCTACAAGCCTCACTTTATCCCTTCCTAACAAAAGGCTATAGGTCTGAAACAAGTTTGGCTTACCGGTTAGAGGCCCTTGAGTTAATGATCCAAGGGGAACCTGTGGGAGTGACATGGGTTGTAGAAGCCGTATTACCTGATGTAGATGCAAATGAAGTAGAGGGAGTACCAGTGACTGAGCTATCCATTTGTCGCAAAGCCCTACCATAAGACTCCAGGTGTTCTCTGAAGGAATTCATTATATCTTCCTTGGGGTCAGAATTATTAAGGTGGTCCCGGGTAGTTCCGGCAACCTGAGTATCTTGGGTTGCCACATGTGCTGCATTTTGTGTTGTGTTCATCTTCTTCTGACCTTGACCTTTACCTTGTTCTTGGTTCTTCACTGCCCACTTGGGTTTCCCGTGGATGTCCCAACATGTGTCACGTGTATGCCGTGAACACCGGCAGTGGGTACAAAACAACTTATCTTTATCATCAGTCTTCTTGGTGTCACTTTTCTTCCCCGTGGAGTTATTATTCATCGCAGCCAAAGCAACTTGTTGCTCCCCCTCAGCTATAACCATCACACTCCGCCTACTTTCTTCCGATTGAACAAGGGAGTATACCTCGTGAACCGACGGCAACTCTTTGCTTCCTAGGATCTGAACCCTCAAAGGTTCATAAGCAGGGTTTAGTCTCAACAAGAAGGCAAACACACGTTGTTGAGAGACCAGCTTCCTGTAGGCCTTAG